CTGTAATAGTTAAGTGTTGGTTTTTGCAATCCATAAATATCTAATTGCTTGGGGGGGGAGAGTACATTTATCCCCCCCCTATTACTTAAGTTTGTTCTAAACAAGTCCTGTCATGCTGGAGAACAGTGCTGTTTGATTTCTTCCCTTCGGCTTGAAAATTGAAGAATCAATTCCAGAGGAGAGTCTCCAGAAAGGTGCATGTATGCCCTGGTAGGGGGCCAGTAAAACTCAAGGCAAGAGAGGGAGCCGTTCATGACACTGGAAGCATCGGGGAAATTCTCTGAAGCTGTTTTGTCAACTCGCCATCAAGGAACACCCTACGAGATGAACTCACTAGAGCACTGTTGGCCAAATAGCCATTGATTCCTCGTGAATAGCCTCAGAGCAGAAGGGGCCTCAATCTAGCCCTGGGGTGGGAACCACAGCCTTTAGGTGCCTTTGCTGTCTTAGGTAGAGAGGGCAGGTCTACTCAGGATCCAGTTGGGCTAGGGTACTCTTTATATTCTGGTCCATAAACAAAGAAAGCTGGCACCACAGAAGAACAGAAGGAGCACGGCCTTTGGGGGCTAGCTGCTCTGGTTTGCATCCTGGCTTAGGGAAATTGCTCAGTTCTTCTGAGCCTCGGTTCCCTCATCTGTAAAATGGGATGGTAACACACATGTACTAATCTCAAGTAAGGATTAGGTGAGATAGTTAATGTTTGTAAAAGCCTAGTCCAGCACATATAGTGAGCTGTTCAATGCCCACGGTGTCCTGTCCCCATCGTTGCCTGGTAATTTCACCGTCACTTTCTGGCCCTGTAACCTGAATCTAGTAACAGCTGCTGCTCCTGCTATCATTGCTTGCACACAGGTGTTCAGGAAGCACCACAGCTTGTCCTCTGTGTTGCCCTGTACTGACCTGTGAGGTTTGAACCTCCTTTCCTCACTAACTGGGTCTCTCCTCAGCTTCCCTGGAGAAGCCACTAGAAAAGAAGGCTGGCAGAAATTATGGCCCCCCAGGCAACAAGAAGCTCATCTATTTCATCGATGACATGAACATGCCTGAGGTGGACGCCTATGGGACGGTGCAGCCACACACCATCATCCGGCAGCACCTGGACTACGGCCACTGGTGAGGGCACTGACACAGGGGGCCTGGGCTGGGGCAAAGCCCTGCTGCACCCACAAACCCAGCATAGCTCTGGTGTCAGATGAGAAACCCCATGGTGCCACAGACCACCATGTGGGTCTCTGTTCCTGCAGCCTGTCTTTCATAGCAGTCCCCAACATTTCTGGCACCAGGGACCAGTTTCATGGAGCAGGGGTGGGGTGGGGTGGTTTCAAGATGATTCAAGTGCATTAAATTTATTATAAATTTATTTCTATTATTACATTGTATTACGTGATGGAATAATGGTATGTTATATATCTATATAACTCACCTGCAACTACACAGTCCAGGAGTTAGCATCACACCTCAGCTCCACCTCAGATCACCAGGCATTAGATTCTCATAAGGAGCTCACAACCTCGATTCCTCACATGTGCCATGTACAGCAGGGTTCCTGCTCCTGTGATAATCTGATGCTGCCACTGATCTGACAGGAGGCGGAGCTCAGGTGGTGATGCGAGTGATGGGGAGCAGCTGTAAGTAGGGCTGAAACTTTATTCAGATGCCTGCTTCTCACTTCCTACTGTGCAGCCTGGTTCCTCACAGGCCATGGACTGGAACAGGTCTGTGGCCCCAGGGTTGGAGACTGCAGCTCTTACATACAGGGGCATTAATATCTTCAGAGGGTACTGAGCTTTCATCTAAGGAAAAAATTCCACCTTTTTCTTCGAAGCTCATCTCAAAAGTTGCCTTCTCTAGAAGCCTTGTCTAAGCCCCCAAAGCAGAATTAACCACTCCCCTCCCTGCCCCACCATGGTCCCATAGCACTGAGAGGTGATTCAATACTGGCACCTAATTAACCCCCCTTAGGGTGCACAGGTGTCTGCACACCTTCGCCGCCCTGGTCTCATTAGAGCATCTCACAGGGTCCGGTAGTCTCTCATGCAACAGCATAGCTTGTAATGACAGAAGGTCTGAACTTGTCAGGAAAAAAATAGCAAAGTCAGTCATTGATTCAGGACATTGGTTCACCTGAATCTGCCACTGAGAAAAAGTGGAAGGAGAGAATTCAGGGAGAGGAATTATAACTATCAGGGTAATTTGGCTTATGTTCTTTTCCTTCCTGAAGTCTTTATTGGACACCTGAAACACACAGCCACCCATAATCTTCACACTGGTGGTATTTGAGCAGCAGAAATTCACATGTGAAAAAAAATCAAGGAAAGCTAACTAGTTTTATTTTAGAGTCATGATCACAAATGTTAACTGGGAAATAGAAACTCCTGGAAACTCTTGCCAGATTGCCTTAGTCCCTCACACGTTCATCCTCAGAAATGTCTGTCCATCCCATCTCCTCTCTCCTCAGGCTTCCCACACCACCTCCGCCTGAGTCTATGTCAGAGCACACAGACGCACCTCTGTTCACTGCTCCCACATCCTACTTGCAGCCCCACGTGTACCTTCTCTGCCCTGTTACGTCTCACCTAAGCCTCAGTCATCCTGCAGCATCCTGATTCCACTCTCTCCTCCTGACTTCATCAGCCATCTCCCCATTGTCTCCTTCCTATCATTTAGATTTGCATAAATTTATTCTCTTAGGTTAAAAAATCATTTTCTAATTCCTTTTCTGTGGCACTCCCCCTAGAGAACCAAACCTCTGTATTCTGTCCCTAGTCCTGCATCTCCCACTCACTCCCCAATCCACTGTGACTTGATTTCTAGTCCACTCATTCCTCCTAACCTACTAACTGCATTATTATTGCAGAATCCAAGGGACCCTTTGGGGCCGCTGCCTTTCATATTCTCTCTGCAGCCCTTGATGTGGGTGACCCTCCTCTCATTTTGGAAATACTGGCTTCCTTTACTTCCTAGGGTACCACGCACTCCTGATTTTTCCTCTTACCTTTCAGTCAGTCCTTGTGTCCCTTCTTCCTGTGCTATTTCCATAGAGAGGAAATTTGCCCTGGATTCTCATCTCCTCTAAAATCTCAACCAGTGGATCTAGACTTTTTTTTCTTATTACTGAAACACTTGACCAATAGAGCACATCCTACCTCACCTTGACAAAGCACTCACACACTTCTCACCCAGAGTTTCTGGCTGCTCCAGGTATGATCGGAACAAGCTGTCTCCGAAGGAGATCGTGAATGTACAGTATGTTTCCTGCATGAACCCCACTGCCGGCAGCTTCACCATCAACCCCCGGCTTCAGGTATGGGAGGAACCTGGGTACTTGGGTCCGAATACTACCTTACCAGGGCTGATGGCTCAGGTTATGGGTAATAATTGGCCTTTCCCTGCAATAGCCCCTCAAAATGGTAAATCAGAATTCTAATGTTGCGTTTCTAGGAGAAATAGAAACTCCAAGACACAGGGTTCAAGGTGGAAGAGGTTGTGGAGTTCATCTGAACCAATTCCCTCATTCATCAGATGAGGGAACTTGAGAGAGATTAAATGACCTTCCCAAAGCCATAAGGATACTCAGCATCTAATTTGGATTTGGATGTGGCTCTCCCTGTTCCCCCATGTTCTCTTCTTTGATCAAAGGTCCAAAGCCTGTTATGCCCCTATTGTTTCAGGTTCAACATAAATTTGAGTGTAGAATGAGAAATGTGACCAAAATGTAGAGCCAATGGCCATTTATTATTTTATCCAAATGCAGAAGAGGTACCATCTGCTCTGTGCTAAAGGTTATCTATCTCATGCCTCCCCCAACCTCTGTCTTCCCACACAGCGTCACTTCAGCGTGTTTGTGCTGTCCTTCCCGGGGGCAGACGCCCTGTCCTCCATCTACAGCACCATCCTAACTCACCATCTGAAGCTCGGAAGCTTCCCAACATCCCTGCAGAAATCCGTCCCCTCACTGATCAGCCTGGCCCTCGCCTTCCACCAGAAAATTGCCACCACATTCCTACCCACAGCAATCAAATTCCACTACATCTTCAACCTCAGAGATTTTGCCAACATTTTCCAGGTAAGTTCATCTGCTCTGAGACCCCCTCACCTTGAAGGGTTAGTCATGATCCAGGTGCTCCCAGGCTTGATAGCATACATAGTTAATGCAAAACTTGAAACAAAGGCAAAGGCACAGTGTGTATGGAGTTGTGAAAATAAACAGATTGATCACAGAGCACCGTGGCTTCCATGAGGAAGGACCTCAACAAAATACAGTTTCATTTGAAGATTACATTTTCATAAGCAGGATGCATTTCTGAATTGGTTCTTTGGGCTGAAGAAGGTTCTGCATTCTGGAGATAATAATTCCAGTATGCCTAGGAAAGAAAATGGCCCAAAAGAAAGAAAAGAAAAAACACATTTGGAGCCCTTGGAGGGACACCTATTGTTATTGAGATGCAAAAGAATATCTCTCAAACCATGCAAGGTAGCTCTAATTCCTTGAGAAGTCATGTTGTCTATTCCTAAGATGCCCTCCACCAGCCAGTCCCCAGGATGACCTCAGTCCTAAAAATTTCAGGTTTATTTCTAAGACAAAGGCATTTCAGATCCTTCCAACTGTTAATTGAAATAATGATGGCCTCTCTCTGCACATTACTTCACTCATCTCTGTCAAAACCTCCAGAGACTGCTGGGGCATAGTGGCTGACACCTGTAATCCTCACATTTTGGAAAGCCAAGGCAGGAGCATTGCTTGAGGTCAGGAGTTTAAGACCAGCCCTGAGAAACACACAGAGACCCCATCTTTACAAAAAAAAAAAAAAAAAAATAGCTAGACATGGTGATGCACACCTATAGTCTCAGCTACTCGGTAGGCTGAAGCAGAAGGATCACTTGAGCCCAGGAGTTGGAGGTTGCTGTGAGCTATGATCATGATCATGCAACTGACCTCATGCCCAGATGCCCTAGCAACAAAGTGAGACTCTGTCTCCAAAAAGTAAAAACCAACCACCAGCTGTGCACAGTGGGAGTAGTGTAGCTAATGAGGTTTATCTAAGGCACAATTGTTGCTAATTGGAAACTTTTCCTAATACTTCATTATTACAACCTATAATATGGTCCACACTGGCAATTTTTGATGGTTTCTATGGAGACTGGAAAAAAAAAGAAAGAAAAAAATTTTTCCCATGACTGTATTAATGTACACAGCTGTGATTTAATAAAATACAATAAACACTGTTTAGCAAAAAAAAAAAAAAAACCCTACAGCCTCCAAGAATCTGCAAAAGCCCCTTTTTCAGAAAAAGTCCACCCCAAGATAGCACTGAGTTGTGAGCATTTAGAGAAGGATGCCCGTTACACCAAGCAGTAACCACACCCATAAGGAGGTGTCGAGGTGAAGTGATCAGGAAAGAACAGCACCTCTGAGGTGGAACACAGGTAGTTTGAATTAATTGCCCAGGGCAAGTAGGACTCTGCAGATAGGACTCTGGGGAGGCTCAGACCACAGCAAATATCTAGGCCAGTATTTTTCAACCTTTTTTATCTCATGGTACACTTGAACTTATAGTTAAATTTCTGCAGCACACTTAAATTATGTTGATTGGGAAAAAAAGTGAAAAAAAGAATATCTTTACTATGCTTTGAACTTCTTTCAAAAATAATTTAATTAATGATCTTTAAAACTTTTCGAGGTGCACCTAAGATCCTCTCACAGCATACAGGGGTGCTGCGGTTGAAAATCACTAATCTAGACCCTGAGATATAGGGCCAGCTAGCTCCAGCCAGGACTCCTGGTTCAGAGGCCTAAGAGCTATGCACCAGGAAGGCTTCTCCTAAAGGCAGAGCCTCTGACCCCCACTGCACAGGCAAGCAGGAGAACACGTTTGGACTGGTCTTAAATCTTGCTACAACTTTATGGACCAGGGCTGTTACTATATGCATTTTCCAAATGATCAGATGTTGAAATGGTTTAATTAAATTCACACTACTCATCAGTAGCAGAAGTGAAGGGAGAAGTACCTTGTACCAGAAGCAACCCAGCCTTAGCTCCCGCCTTGTCACCTAAACAAGCTGAAACTTAATACTGATGACAACCTTTGCGGACAGACTTCTTGTCACATTCCTAAATTTAGAGGGAAAGGCTTTTAATAGTTTGTCATTAAATAAGATGCTTCCTACAGGTATTTTTGGGGGGTACCTTTTGACCAGGGGTCCTCAGACTTTTTAAACAGGGGGCCAGTTCACTGTCCCTCAGACCGTTGGAGGGCTGGACTATGGGCTCTGGGACGAGTCGGCTGTTAAGCAGGACAGACAGCAGCGGCTAAAACACCTGGCGAGCCGGATAAATGTCCTAGGCGGGCTGCATTTGGCCCACGAGCCATAGTTTGAGGACACCTGCGGAGACTGATTAAGAAAGTTTTTCTCTATGGTTTACTTAGAGTTTTGATCATGTATAAGTGTTGAAACATAAATGATTTTTCTACCACTGTTGAAGTAATTATATCATTTTTTCTCCTTTATTCTGGTAATGTGATACATTATATTGATTATTTTTAAATGTTAGATCAACTTTGCATACCTGGAGTCAACTCAACTTGGTGATTACATGTGATCCTTTTTATATTTTCCTAATTTTGCTAATTTATAATTTATTTTAATTTATAATTTATTTAATTATATTTTCCTAACTTTTAAGATGTAATTTTTACATCTATGTTCATAATATTGTCTTATAAATGTTCATTTCTCTAGTTTTATAAGGTTATGAATATTTTATGAAATATTCATAAAATATTTCGGGAAGTTGGTCAGGCATAGTGGCTCAACCTATAATCTTATTGCTTTGGGAGGCCAAGATAGAAGGATTGCTTGAGGCCATAAATTCAGGACCAACTGAGTTACATAGCAAGACCTCATCTCTACAATTTTTTTTTTTTAATTAGCCTATAGCTACTCAACAGGCTGAGGCAGGAAGATTGCTTGAGTCTAGGAGTTTGATAGTGCAGTGAGCTATCATGATACCACTGCATTCTAGCCCCAGTTATAGAGTGAGACCCTGTCTAAAAAAAAAAAAAAAAAAAAAAAAAAAAAATTTTGGGAAGGATTCCCTCTTTTTCTGTTTTCTACAAGGTTTTGTAAACATTGTTATGTGCCTTCCTTAAACACTGGAAGAATTTACCCATGAAATGATCTTTCTTTTATTAAAGCCTAGCTTAATTTCACTGTCACCAGAAAATATAATCTGTATGATTTTATTCCTTTGAAACTTGTTGAGATTTGCTTTATGGATGAAGATATAATCCAGGCGTCCTCAAAGTACGGCCCGTCGGCCACATACAGCCCGCCTAGGACATTTATGCAGCCCAGCGGGTGTTTTTGCTGCCGCTGCCTGTCCTGCTTAGCAGCCAACTTGTCCCAGGGCCTACAGTCCGACCCTCCAACAGTCTGAGGGACAGTGACCTGGCCCCCTGTTTAAAAAGTCTGAGAACCCCTGATATAATCAATGCACACCTAAAAAAATACATTCTGCAAGTATTGAGTTGAATGTAGTTTTATCAATATTTCAATGAGAACAAGCTCAGTATCATTTTATCTAAAATTTCTATGTATGGATTGAGCTTTTTGTCTGCTTATTCTGTCATTTTCTGAGAAAGATATGTTAAAATATCCCACTATGGTTGTGGGCATGTCTAATTCTCTTTTGATTCCTGTCATGTTTGCTTTATATATTTTGAATCTATGTTAGTAAGTACATACAAATTTAGAATTGTATTTTCCAAGTGGACTAATCTTTTTCTTATTTATTAAACACACTTGTTTATCTTTAAAAATGGCTTTTGCTTTGGAGTCCACCCTTTATGATAGAAGTATGAATATTCCAAATTTGCTTAGTCAATATCTTCCCGACAGATTGTTTTCATTTCTTTAGGCTCAGCTTTTCCATATCCTTATGTTTAAGATATATCTCTTACAGGCAGCATACAGTTGGGTTTTTATATTGCAAGGGTACATGTCAAATCTATTGAGCATAGAGTATAAACGTCTTGACACAACAATTAAGTAATTGAGGTAAAGGCTATATTAACTAGTTTGATGTAAGCATTCCAAATTGTATTTAAAATCAGCACATTGTACCCCATAAGTAAGTGCATTAATGTATGGATCTATGTGTTTATTACTTAATAAAGTGAGAAAAAATAAAAAAATAAAATCCAGCCTGACAATTATTTTATATAATTATAGTGTTTAATTCCTTTGTTATTTTACATAATAATATATTTGGGATTAAATGTGCTTATTTTATTTATTTTTAATACATCCTCCCTGTTCTGTTTTCTTCCATCTCACTGGTTATACTCCAGTGGAGTCACTGTATATTTTTATTATTTTCTTTTATCTTAATATATTATACATCTCTTCACTATTCATGCATTGGTTACCAAAGGTATCATTTTATCTTTTATAGATTAGTACATTTATTAGTTGCAAAAATGCAAGGATCTTGGAGCAATTTGCCTCTCTTCAACTTTTATCTATTATTGATTTTAATTCTATGTATATTGAAAACCCACAATTCATGAACATTTTTGTATTGGCAAGTCAACATTGACTTAGATTTACCTATATATCACCTTTTGTTGCTCTTTATTCCTGCTGCACTTCTGTTCTTTCACTTACATGGAATCATTTTCATTCTGCCTGGAACTTCTTTTAGTGTCTACTTTAGTTCATATCTGCTAGACAAGCATCTCTCAGTTTTTATTTGACTAAAAGCATATTTATTTTTAAAGGATTTTGAGGGGCAGTTTGGAATTCTACCTTGGAAGCTATTTTCTTTCAGCACTTTGAAAGTATTTTCTGTTATTTCTATTGAGAAATTGCCTCTAATCCTTATAACTCACAAGGTACAAGTAACACAATGATAAAAATAAACCACAACCAAAATGAGATCTATAGAATCCCCTACCTTTGAGACACTAGCCAGGACCTAGGAGAAACAAACTTGTAACAAGAAAATAATAAGAATAATTTTAAAAACTAATAATTCTTCTATAACAGATATTTATATATGAAGGGCCACCCAAGGCCTTGCTGGACAGGAGAGCTATCTTAGAAGATTTCCACAACAGGGATCCACTGACTTAGATCTTGAACCAGGAGCATAGCAAGCAAAGCAAAAGGCATGAAGGTGCAGTAAGTGAACAGCTTCAGAAAATAATCTGAATTTCATGAAAGTAGACTCTAGGTTTTATGGGAAGTAGTGGTGAGCAATCAGGAGGAAGAAGATTGTAATTATATTGTGACCAGATTTTGTGTCATGCTGATGAATCTGTGCATTACTCAGTAATGAGTAAAGAACCATTAAATGACCTCCGTTCCTCCAGGGCAAGCAAGAATGCAAGGAGAGCAAGCACAGACATAGATAAACTCGAAGTTATCAGACTTGTCCTGGTTGTGGCTGGTCCATTTTTTTTTAATAGGAAAGAAGGCCCAGGACATTGGCTAATAGCAACAGAGAGAGAGAGGACAGAGAAATTTGAAATGATTGGTAAATATTTGTGAACGGGAAGGGGGAACCACCAGAGGTGAATAAATGCCTTGCTGACCTGCCGAGGTTAGCTGTGCCCATTCCAGCCCTCTGTCATAGCATTGACTGTACAAAGACACAAATCAGTTTTCAGAATGGCACTTGTGAGGTTGAAATAGAGCAGAGACACCACCGCTCTCCTCATTGTGGTGATTCAAAACCAAGAGGTTAAAATCTAAGCACTAGATAGGAAGACCTGGCTTCAAAACACTGTGCTTCTGAAGTAAGGCAACTTCCTATGTGACATTGGGTAGGGTTTCTGTCTTTTCTGGAATCTCAATTTCCACATTATACAAAGAGGAGTCAGTAAAATTGATTTCATAGGATCACTGAGAGGATTAAATTATCTTTGTCTGGCAAAGAAACTAGTTCACTCCCTCTCACACAATTGGCTTCAATAAGTTATAGCTACACGTATACAGCAGTTGATTTTTTTTTTATGAAGAACATTAAAGTATAATTTCAATGTGTTGAGTATGTGAGATGAGCAGTATTAGTTTTAGGGGTATGTTAACTTGAATTATTCAGACAACTTCAGAAAGGCAATTTTGTTATCCTTGTTTG